GTCCCTGAATATGTTGTCCTTTTGCTTGCTATGAGCTTTGATGGAGTGCCTCTTTTTTAGCAACTGCCTGAAAATATTGAATGGGAAAACAAAGTCAACATGAAATCCTGTCAATCCTCCTTAAGGACGCCATATATAGTCACACGCACACACACGCACACACACACACACACCACCGTTTGCAATTGGAACAGCTTTAGTTCTGGAGTGCTGCCATACGAGTCCAAAACTGTGTGTGTGTGTGTGTGTGTGTGTGTGTGTGTGGTCGTGGAATATTGTACCATTCTTCAAGAAGAAAAGCCTCCAGTTCTTTGAAGGATGAAGCAGGAGGAAATCTACTTTGCACTCTGGGCTTCAGAATTACCCATAACGCTTCAGTGATGTTCAGATGGTGACTGGGGAAAATGTGCAAGACATTTGACTTGTGACGACGCTGACATGCAATCACAGCCCATTCTCATCCCTAGGCGTCATGAAACTGACGCCTTGGGAATAATTTTGACCATGCTTCAATATTCGACGCTTTAGGCACCCTTTAGCGTCAGTTACATGACGCGATCCTAGGGCGTCATCTTGCTGACGCTTTACCTTTAACGTCAGTTAGATGACGCTATCTAATCCTAACCCTACCCCAGACCTAAACCTACCCGCGTCATCTAACTGACGCTTAGGTAAAGCGTCAGTAAGATGACGCCCTAGGATCGCGTCATGTAACTGACGTTAAAGGGTGCCTAAAGCGTCGAATATTGAAGCATGGTCAAAATTGTCATTTTAGTGACGCCTTGGGGTGAGAATGCGTTGGCAATCACCGAACTTAATAACTCCTACAACATGGCTGCACACATCCTTATGTTTATCTGTTGGAAAACACACATCTTTTTTTAGCATTCCTTGGATTTCTCCAAGCATAAACTTAGTTTAGGAGGGTGAAAAATGACATGTCAGATTAGACCAGAAACATCCAATTGGGGGGATGTAAGGGTGTGCTGACTCTGGAATAATTTCATCGGAATATTATTGGCTCTTTCCTGCCACATTTATATCTTTGTATAAAACATTATTGTAGCCCAAACTGTAAAACGCACAGTGCTACCAATGCAAAAAGAATGGGTTTGATTTCCAGGGAATGCATGCTCTGATAAACTGCCCATCTTCAATCCATAAAACCATCTGCTAATTGCATACATGTAAAACCTACTATTTATAAAATGATCTTTGTGTGACAAAGCTGTTTAGTGCCACTGCATAGTGCACTTACCATTAAACCTAAATCGGGTTCACTTTATTTTGATGGTCACTTTAAAACATTCTGTTGACTATGTAACATTGCACCTACATGTCTACTAACTCTCATTAGGGTGTTAGTAGATTATTAGTAGACTGGTAGGTTTAGAGTTAGAATAAGTTGACATGCACTTGCAAAGTTACTGATAGTCAGTATAATGTCTGTTGGAGGACCAACACAATAAAGAGTTAGCAGATATTAAGCAGACAGTCTACTAATACTCAAATGAGAGTTAGTTGTCATGTAGTTGCAAAGTTACTTATAGTCAACATAATGTGTTAAAGGGACCATCAAAATAAAGTGTTACCCCTAAATCCAGATCTAAAAATCAAGTCTGTTGAGTATTTTTTCTACTGCAATCATTTTTAAAAGACACTTGGACACGTAACGAATTATCAACACAATAATATCCATTAATAAACCTAAGGATTATAATGGGAACATTGCTTTTCAGCAGGTGATTTCGAGTCCAGCAGCTAGTGATTGTCTTGAATTTGTACACAAACTGTAGCAGCTTTAAATGAGTTGAATTATGAGGAAAAAAACTTCTTTGAAAAGGATTTTCTGTGCTGAATGTTAATACACTAAAGAACATCATGCTAAATTATTGATATGCAAAGGAAATGCAGGATGCATTTGATTTATTATTATTATGACAATGCAGTTTTTTTTCTCTGGTTATTTCCAAACCTTTTTATTGCCTGTTTTATTGTTATTTCCAAACATGTTTTTTTTTTTTTTTTTTTTTTGATTGCACCAGTTTTCATTGGTTTGGCCTGGGATGCATGCACATTCGGCGCTGTCATTTACTTCAGCCTTCATGTTGACTTAGAATTTTCCATTTTCACGACCAGAGCACCTGCAGTTCGGGCCCTTATTTGGCCTAAATAGAACTTGGTTTGTTGCCTCATTGTGCTTTGAAAACTATTAAAAGATTGGTAATTGATCACTTTAAACCTGGCAATCAATCTATTGTAGTTCACAAGCACTGCTGCATTTTGAACTTTAAAATTGAAGCTGTTCTTGAGTGATATTTCTGCTGTTTTGTGAAAATTTAAAGGATAAGGGACAACTGCCTCTCTCAAGAGTGCAATAGTAATAAAAGACATCATTAACTCTGCGGTTCACAGGTTATCTCAATATGAGGTCAGTCCTGTGGCAGCTAAAAAAGAGGTCTGACAAATAACAACTGAAGTTTGCAGTCACCGGCAATATTAGTGTTGAATTACAGAAGCCCACTGCTATGACTGTTATGATGTTTTGCTCTGGAGGCAGTCATATAGAAATGCATTTGCTTGTGTGACATCACAGATCCCGAAATATCAAAACGAGTTGTTTTTGGAGCTTGGTTGAATAAATGCACTGTTTATAATGAGGAGGATGTTTAAGCTATGAAACTTGCAGGATGTTTTAAGGGTACAAAGACCTCTGATTTGTCAAAAGTTCAAGGAAAATTTGATTTATCATGTCTCATGACCCCTTTCAAAGTAAAGATGTGCTGGAATTGAATATATTTAACACAAAAACAAATGTGATGAATGATTAAGCGATTGTTCTACATAATAGCCATGATTGGTATTCAAAGTACAGAAATGTGTTATTTTATGCAGTTATTTACTGATCACAGCTCTGGCAAACCTGCCTTCTCCAGATGACGAATTAATTTCACATAAGCCGTCAAGATGGATGAAGTATATACCTTTGTTTTTATGTTTGATTGTGTCACATCTTTGCATGGCAGATATTAATGTGAGTCCAGAACGACTGCAGATAAATGAATGCAAAAGAAAAGTGTGAAAAACAGTTCCACCAAAAGAGGCTATGTATTGTAGAAACATGTTGCTTGAAGTGAATACGTGAAGATGTAAATAAACACAAGGCGGCCAACGTCTCATAACTTGGCTCCCAATTTTTAATAAGTGGGTGTCGGGAGCAACTCTTGCTTTCCAAGAGATAAAAGAGTTTATGAGAAGAATTCAAAGTGGTAAAAACATTACTCTTCATAAGGAATACTGCAAAACATTGTGAAATACTGCAAAACAAATTATATATATAAAATGGAACCTGCTAATACATTATAGACTTTTAAGACTGAGTTGTAAAATTAACAGCAAACAATGTAAATGTAACATGTATCAAACCATTATTTTGGCCAACGGGAATTTAATGCAACCAATTAAGGTTTCACTTTATCTTAATGGTCCCTATAAAACATTATGTTGACTATAAGTAAGGCTGCATCTACATGTCTATAGCTCTCATTAAAGTGTTAGTAGAGTATTAGTAGACTGGTAGGGTTAGTAGAATAAGTGGACATGTAGTTGCAAAGCTACTTCTAGTCAGTAGAATGTCTGTTGGAGGAGCAACAGAATGAAGAGTTAGCAGATATTAAGCAGACAGTCTACTAATACTCTAATGAGAGTTAGTTGACATGCAGTTGCAAAGTTACACTGTTAAAAAAAATCTGTTCAATTTACGGTAAAATACCGGCAGCTGTGGTTGCCAGAAATTTACCGTATAAAATACAGTAGCAAGACTCTACGGTACGGTTTTACAGACTTAACTTAAAATTTACAGAAATAAACCGTATTTCATTATCTGATATAATGTTAATTTACTGACCTGACCTATTGAAGAATTAATATCTGTTTTGTACCATTGTAATACACTGACAGCCAACAATCACAGCAGTGATGAGAGTCAAATGATCAATCAAAGCTCATCATAAGCAGCTCTTCCACAGGAAAGTTAATACTAATATATATAAGCTGCACAGTGTCATTCACACAAACATTAAACACCATTATGGTAACACATATGAAATTTTAAAAAGGCAATAAGCATTAATTTAACAACATTAAATGTCACATTAAACCCTAATGTACATAACTGATTAGAAAAAGACTAAGCAAACTATGAAGAAACAGTTATTTAAAAAAAATAACATCAAATGCAAAGTGTCACGCAGGGAATTGTGGGAATGTCAATTTACGTTTTTTCACTGTAAATTATACAATGAGTTTTTCATTTTCACTTTCAAAAACTGTAAATTTAACGGTATTTTACAGTAAAATTACATGAAATGTACCATTACATCTATCACAGTTATTTACCGTATATAGTAAGGAAAGGTTCTGTTAACCAATTAACAGTTTTTTAACGGTCTTTTACCGTTAAAAAGGGGTGGTGATGGCGCAGTGGATAAGACGCATGCCTTTGGTGTGAGAGACCCGGGTTCGAATCCACTGTGAGACACCAATGTGTCCCTGAGCAAGACACTTAACCCCTAGTTGCTCCAGAGGCGTGCGACCTCTGACATATATAGCAATTGTAAGTCGCTTTGGATAAAAGCGTCAGCTAAATGAATAAATGTAAATGTAAACGTTAAAATCACGAACATTTTTACCTAAAGTCAACATAATTCATTCAAATAAAGTGTTACCCAATTGAATGCAAAGCTTACTGTATGTGTTTGCAAAGTCATTGTACTTCTGACCAGGCAACAAATAGGGGCAACAAAATAATACCAGAGGGGAAAAAAAGTATAGGAAAACACTTTGTCTTTTGTTTCTGCCAGTCGCTGTATCTGCAAAAAAAAAAAAAAAAAAAAAAAAAATACAAGAGTCAAAGCAATCTGCAAACCCCACCAAATGTGTCAAGTCAATCCACATCATTAAAGGCTAAAAGGCTGTGTGAAAATTTGAATATGACTCACAATTGTCCCTCTGGTCCTCATTTCCTGTCAGACTTCTTTCTGGTGGTTCAATGGCTCTGTCCTTTGAACTGCTGCTGTATCACATCCTGAATCTCCAGGAGGTCGGTTCACCCCCTACAGTTCAAAGAGCACATGCACACAGTGAGTCCAGTCCTAATCTAGTGGCCGGCCCTAATGATTGATTGCATACTGAGAAGTGCCGTCACCTCTGCTGAGGGAAAGAGTGCAAGAAATGCTCATCACGAAACCGACAGAGGAACCGAGAACAGCTTGATTTGTGGTAGACTGGTTAACTCAGAGGGCTAATTGTTTTCTAGAAATTTGTGCAACCATTAACCAAAGGGTTTTGATGTGAATTGTATGCATTTGTGTATTCGATGTACTTTCTGTTCATCAAAGAATCCTGAAATAATGTATCACTGTTTCAACAAAAATATAAAGCAGCTCCAATTTTTTCAACATTGATGACAAAAAGAAATGTTTCTTGAGCAGCAAATCCGCATATTAGAATCATGTGACACTGAAGACTGGAATAATGATGCTGGAAATGCAGCTTTGCACCACAGGAATAAATTACATTTTTAAAATATATTCAAAGCTGTTAATTTTAAATTGTATATTTGAAATATTACTATTTTACCGTATTTTTTTAATCAAATAAATGCGGCCTTGGGGAGTATAAGAGACTTCTTTTTAAAAATGAAAACAAACACTGTTAAGCTCAAAAAGTGACAAAAAAGCACAATGAAAGTAGTGCGTATGACTCTTTCAATACATGTCATGTCTTCTCAAGCCATTCAATAGGAACAGACTGTTTATTCACTGAGAACATTCCCTTCATACTGATGAAGGAAATTATGCATTTTCAAGTATTCAAATGGCACACAGAGGTGCAATGCACTTGGCGTTAATGAAGTCATTTGCAACTGTTTTTTGTTCAATGTGAGCAAGAGTAATACTAGATTAGCAGAGGAAAACCTTTTTTTCACATAAAGCTATCGCATAGCTTCAGAAGACGACTTTTACGTGTGAACATGCTGTCTATCAGCTCCTTTTGTGTTTGAACATTTTTAATAACTTGAGACTGAGTAAATTATGACAAAATTCCTGGATCTCTCAAAACTTGTTCTTTAAATACTGGTGAACACAGTGTGTTTTAGATCTCTGGACTACACACACATATGTAAACTTGGTGTGAAATGTTTGTAAAGTACTTCCTATTTATCATTGATGTGGTTTGTCATGTTCAGTTGAGTAGCCCGTCCTTTACAGTAGTAATTTGGTCAAAGCATTATTGGGACAATACAGCTGTCAAACCATTTAAAAGTCTCTTGAGCTTCACAATAACATCCACACACTACAAGCTCATTGTAACCCTCTGAATTATTCACGCTGTCATGCTGACCTTGTTTTTTGATGGTGTTAAGATAAATAATTAGCTCTATTAAAGGCTTGATTAGAAAGGCAGCGGTAAACTAGTCGATATCAGATCTGAATGTATAATGCATCCAGTGGGCGACTCAACACATGAACGCTTGAGAGCTCATATAGTGTACGCAGTAAGTAACAATAAGGCAGATTAATCTTCTGGTGTTTTCTACAACAGAAAACGAGATATAGACCGGGGTGAAAAGACGGAAGAGGATATTAGACAGATAGAAAGATAGATATGGACAGCGAGTGAAAGAAATCTAAAGGAACAATGGCTTTGTTTAGATGTGAGTGGGCAGGAGAGGTGAGTAGTGTGCACATTGCTTTGCCACAGGGGTATTTATGAATCTGACGATAATTGCATAATTATCTACAGGTTATATCCTTAAAAAAATACTATTGAGAAGGCAAACAATAGGTCATCCGAGTATGAATCATATTGATGATATTCCATACTATGCATACTATGTTTCATTTTAGCGAAAAGTAAGCAATTAAATACACACAAACTAAATTCACCTTTTCTGTAAGACATCAAACATACTTTGTGCCTTTTAATGACGTGGCCAAGTTCGGTGTGTGTCTTCTGTGTTTTTTATTGTTAACTAAAACTATAAAATTATTGTATTTGCTAAATTAAGTAAAGCTGAAATAAAATATACATATTAGAGGGAAACTAATAAAAATGGCGGTAACACTTTATCTCAAGTCATCTTTAGATATTCTACTAACTATGAGAAACTTTTCAACTACATGTCAACTAACTCTCATTAGAGTATTAGAAGTTAGGTTGGGGTTCGGGTTAGTAGAATAAGTTGACATATTTATAGTCAGTAGATTGTCTGTTGGGGAGCATCAAAATAAAGTGTTTTCAAATATTAAGCAGACAGTCTACTGATACTCTAATGACTGCTGGTTTACATAGTTGCAAATGGTTAGTACAATGTTTAACCCTCTGGGGTCCTTCATTTCAGAGTCACACTCAGGACCTTCGGGTCCAAATGGGCCGGAAGGGTGGGATTAATGTTTATTAAAAAAAAATCTTTTTTTTTTTTACTTGTTTTTTATAATATTTTTTCTTTTCTTTTTTGGTGTTTTGAGATAATTAAAAAAAAAAAAAAAGATTTATAATTAATATTAATGCAATAATTATGACCCATTTTTCCCCATTGAATATAATAGATTTTTTTTTTTTTTTTTTTTTTTTTTTACAGCTGTATTTCATTTTAGAGTCAAGCCTAGGCCTCATGTAAGCAATTTTTTAAATGAGATGGATGCCATCTGGTGGACAAACTGAGCATTTTAAAAATTCAAAACCCATATGTAATCTGAATTTATTAGTGTGTATGTGTATAAAAGTGTGTTTGTGTGTGTGTGTGTGGATGTGTCTGTTTTGCACTCTTGATGTTTTATAGATTCACCCCTTCACTGTTGTGTGCTCTTTTTCTGGATCGTGGCTGATTTGTAGATTGTACGCACAAAAAAAACTCTGTATTTTCACATTTTTGCCCATTTCCCATTCATTTCCTATGCGGGTCCATTTGGACCCGAAGGTCCTGAGTGTGACTATTTTCTTTACAACCACTTAGACTATTCAAATCCTGTCCCCAATTTTTTGGGGTGTTCATATACCAAGTACCAACAAAGTCACCAAATTTCGGACCATTCCGATAAAGCTATGATTTAAAAAAATATATATATTTAAATGCTTCGGGTCCATTTGGGCCGAAGGACCCCAGAGGGTTAAAATGGACTATCAAAATAAAGTGTTACCAGAATGACAAAAGCACATAACATAATAACTAAAACTTGAACTACAATACAAACTGAAAATGCAAAAATAAAAGCTATATTAGTATATAAAAAATACCAAAGAGCACTATGTGCTGTGTTTCTATGAGTGTTTCTTCCGAGTATGCATTGAGTAGTACATGGATTTTATTATATATTTTAATTGGAGAATTTGAGAAACTTAGCTATTTATTTTGCAGTATTGGCATGAACTGTGAATCAAGTCTGGAGAGCACCAATTGAGCAGAGCTATTTATAGGAGTTGCTTTCTTATAGTGTTACAAATTGGTCTCTTATGCGGTTGTGATTCATTCAAGAATGCTGTCTAAGTAGCTACCAGCCTATGCATGTATTACAGTAAGGCAGCTCATTAGGTTTTGGAACAGAGCCCTTATGTAACACACACATAAAAAAAAGGATTCCTTCTCCATATCATCATCTTAAAAATGCCTCTAATTACAAGGTATTGTAGCCGTCAATACTTCTTGATTTGTCTGGTTCCTTATACACGGCAATGCAATTCAACCCGCCCCCTGTCCTTTATCTGTAATAGAGCCCAACAGCTACAAATCAATATAGTGCTACAAGATAACAATGGATGAACTCGCAGTGTTGACCATCTCTTAAAAAGACCTGCACTTCAGGCAGGGTGGTTCATAGAAAAGCTTTAGTTGGTGCATTGTTACCCGAGTTGTTTGGTAATGCCACAAGGCTATAATTGCGTCTCAATCAGTAACCTCGTCATTGTTTTGTATTTGGGAAGAAATGCACAAAAATATCTAGCATCAGGGAGCTTGTGAAACAACCGAGAAAGCACATACTGAGCACTAAGTGGTTCATCCCTTTGAACTTTGAAATTGCGCTCTAAAAATGTCAACGGCGTGCCGAAAATGCATTGCGCACACTGACGTAGAATATAGTCTTGAAAGTCGTGTGTTAAGAGCTCTAACCTTTTCCACAACCACATCATCCCTCTGACTTCATCTCTCTCTAGCTCTCTCCTCCGGAAAGTCTTGTAATGCATGCCGGATAAGTATACTATAAGTTACAAACAATTTTGTCGACGTTTACTTTATGACACCATCCAAAAATAGTCTAGATTTACGCTATCATACACAATCAAGAAGGTGACAACAAGTAATATACATTCATTTATGGCCTGGCCTGATAGCGCTCTGCCAAAGCTGGAGATGTGCACTTGGGAGTAACTGCCTTTTCTGCATGGGTGAGCATCCGTAATCCCACTTGACAAGCATATATCGCTGTCTTCACATCAGGCCAGGCGAAGCAATCGGGTTAGAGCAGGTTTGTTCCTGTGACCTTGGCTGTCAGAGCATGCATGCTGAAGTCGGCCCCACTGGGGTGAACATTGTGTCGAGGTGGACTTGACCGCTTTGGGTCATACATTATGTAGACATAATTTGTGCTTTAATTATCATTTAGAGCGATCTACCTCAGACAATGCTTAAGGCTTTTGTGCCTATGATACAAAAGTTAGTTTGCCAGCCGCACCATAGGTAGGATATGCTGTGTTCGGCCGATGTCTAATGTCCTGTATCCCAAACGATGAGTAAATGACACAATTATGCGACGTGCAATGATTATGGTCGCCAATCGTCCCGTAGTACCAGGGGCATCTTGTTTTTTTAATCAGCGAAAATGCCCCATATGCCAAACTCAAAAAACGGTACTACAAGAAAAACAATCATGCTTTTATTTCCAACAATTAGAGTGGACAAACATCCTGCATTAGCCAGGATGTCATGTTTATGGTCAATGAAAATGCCTCAAATGCTAAACTTATCTAAGTTAAATTGCATGTGAACTTTCCCTTAAGAACAACATAATTATTTCACTATTTATAAATACTGTGATTGTCAACCAATTTTAAATG